CCTAATTGCCCAGATAATAGTTAGGAGTCAACCACATTGCCATGGGTCTGGAGTTACCTATAGATCAGACCAAGTAAGGGTGGCAGTTTCCTTCCCCAAAAGACATTGAGTTCACAACGTTTTCAAGTTAAAGTCTAACGTAAAGATATAAGCATAAAATTCATGCTGAAACTTCAGTTCAGCATACAAAGAGTTTCTGTGTTTTTGGCTGGCGCTGTTTTATCAAATGAGGTGTTATGTTGAGGTCACACCTGTGTTCCAGCTGGGTGTTAAAGATCCTGTCCTCTAGAGAAGAGGAACCAATTGAAGGTGTATTCTGTCACACTCCAACTTTGACACATCATCTGTGAAAAATTTGGTAGTTCAGATTTTTTGGGCTGCATCCAAATGGCCAATGAAGGAATTCCCCCAGGTCCTGGTGGATTCTTTCATTAGCCATTTGAATGCAGCCACTGGGAACATGTGCTATTGGTCGGAGTCCAGACCTTCGTGCGGTACACTTTGGTCAGCCACATTCAAAAGATCGATGGAGGAATCCTCCAGACCTACACAGAACACATTTGTGACAGCCACTTATGGATGGCCCATGAATGCCAAGATCCTCATGTTTGAGGACTGGACTGGTGACCTGTACCTGGCTATGTAAGGTGACTTGTACCTGACCACCCTAAGCAGTCCATGCATGCTTACAAGATGGCAGAATGAAGCTAAGCAAAACTAAGCAACCTGCTCATACAGTGAAATACAATGATACCTTTTGAACAGAACTGCTAGAAGGCCAGTAAAAGAGCACTGTATGTTCCCATAAAAGTTCCGATAAAAGAATGTCTTAGGACAGATGAATCACCAAGCCCAGCTTTATTAATGAAAGAATGATTGTCCCAGTAAATGAATAACATCAGATGCTAGATTAGGTTCTTAAGCAGCTGCAAGGATAATAGCTAAAGTTATTTCATAGTAAATAGTTGCCTCTTGAAGCTGCCTGCAATATTAAATAGTTTCTAGCTAAAATGCTCTAAACATAAAAGTTGGTTTCAATACATTACCAGGGTATAATACAAGCCTTAAAAAAAACATTTAAGCTTAAATGTGAAAGTTGACTCCTTTTCTTATGCCCTGAACAAGATAGATTGCTCACAACCCATAAATTACAAAATACAAACAGTAAAAGTAGTTGTATAACATTACTCATTATAATTAACTTTATAACAGAAGTTCATAGCAATTAGTTAAAACTAATTGACTTTTAATTTTACATTATGTAATTAGAACAGTGGGAAAATAAAAGGAGTAGCTGAATTTGATAAAAGACAGCACCAAAATACAATGGGTAATAGAATTCGAGCTGTCCTTACAGATTAACAAGCCTGAGAAAGACCCGAAGGAGTATAGCCATTAAACCTTTGGAATGCGAATGAGTAGGATGCATAAAAAGATTGCAAGGCCTAGAGATTACAATGTCTAGCCAACACCATAAGATCATGGGAACCTGCAACAGTCCGTAGAAATGCCCACCTTAGATTAGGTGTCCCACGGGATTGGGTGTTTGGATTAAGGGGAAGGACAGTGAATACGTTGCGTTTGATTATTGTAACACAAAATGTCTTAAAATGCTGTATTTTTTTTGTAAAAGTGGTGGATGTGTCATTGATCTATCTTCCGAAGCCAGATTCGGGAAGATCCTTTGGCCCTCTCCCTGCATAAACTGGTTTCTGCTTGCATAAACATCTTCCATTTGCCTGAATCCTGCCTGCCCCCGAGTCTGTCCCTGGTTGGGAAAAATGCTCCTACAAGGACTCAAGTTGAAATCTGTAGGAATGACATTGGGAAGGCCTGCGGAATTTAGAATCATCTTAGCGGTGACCAGGAGGATCAAGCTTGAGGTCCAGGAAGCAAGTGGCCGTTCCAGAATGAAGTAACCCGTAATGCAAGTTGTAACAAGTTATAGTTCTCTTTTTTTTATATTTTAAAGCTTTGTTTTCTCAAAATTTGACGTATGCCCAAAGGAAAAGCAAATGAATCTTAAAGCTCCTTTTAAAAAAGAAATCCTGGCTGCATTTCAAAAGGGAATAGCTTTCTCAGGGCATTGGAACTGAAATGCTATCTTTAATGCAGAAACAGAACGCAGGAATTGGTGAGATTTTCACATATTGTGAGACAGATAATGTTACAAGCACTATTTTCTCTAAAGCAATGATTGGATTTAAGTTCAGCACTTGGAAAAAGTGACAGGATTGAAAATTGTCCTACCTAGAGCAGCATTTGAATCTAAAATTACACATGGATGCCATTATTAGTTTACAAAACTAAGGCAAAGTGGAATTTTACAAATACTTACTGGAACACCAGGAGACCATGAGATGAGGGTAGAACGTACAGAGTGCAAAAATCCAATCCTGATATGGTGGAAGTTCTCATTGATAATGTCATACAAGCAGAAAAGATTAATGTGTCCATGCTTTCCAGGCAAGACATTGATCATGTGGCAAAGTACATAGCAATTGCGGAGTGCTGGCACAGTATGAATTAAGGCTATGAATTTGTAGTGAGAATTGGCTTCATTGTACAGAGACAATCTTGGATGAATTGTGTAAATTGCATTTTCATACCTTGATGGATGATGGCTGCATCCAAATGGCCAGTAAATGAATCTTTCAGACCTCCACACAACACATTGCTGACAACCAAGCATGGATGGCCCATGATACCCAGTGGACAAAGCCTGGACTTGTTAGTACAAAAATTGTTGATTTTTGTGCATCAAGTTTTGATCAGAAAGCAAAGAGTAGGGATATATGGACGTTTTTTTCTGATTGGTGATTGGTGGCTAGTGGTATGCCTCAGGGATCAGTGTCGAGACCGCAATTGTTTATAATTTATGTAGGTGATTTAGAGTTGGGGACCAAGTGTGGTGTGTCAAAGTTTGCAGATGGCACTAAAATGAGTGGTGAAGCAAAGTGTGCAGAGGACACTAAAAGAGGGATATAGATAGGTTAAGTGAGTGGGCAAGGGTCTGGCAGATGGAATACAGTGTTGATGAATGTGAAGTCATCCATTTTGGTAGGAATAACAGCAAAATAGATATATATCTCAATGGTGAAAGACTGCAGCATGCTGCTGTACAGATGGACCTGGGTGTCCTTGTGCATGAATCAGAAAAAGTTGGTTTGCAGATGCAGCAGGTAATTAAAAGGCAACTAGAGTATTGCCCTTTACTGCTAAAGGGATGGAGTTTAAAAATAGGGGGGTTATGCTGCAACGAAATAAGGTGCTGGTGAGGCCACACCTAGAGAAGCGTACAGTTTTGGTCTCTTTATTTGAGAAAGGATGTACTGGCACTGGAGGGGTTGCAGAGGAGGTTCACAAGGTTGATTCTGGAATTGAGAAGGCTACCCTATGATGAGACTGGGACTTTACTCACTGGAATTTAGAAGAATGAGGGGGGATCTTATAGAAACATAAAATTAAGAAGGGAATAAATAGGAGAGAAGCAGGGAGGTTGTTTCTGCTGGCGGGTGAAACCAAAAATAGGGAGCATAGCCTCAAAATAAAGGGAAGCAGATTTAGGACTGAGTTGAGGAGGAATCATCTTCACCCAAAAGGGTTGCAAATCTGTGGAATTCTCTGCTCAGTGAAGCAGTTGAGGCTATCTCATTTAATGTTTTTAAGGCAAAGATAGATAATCTAAAAAGAAAATGAACTTGGATGGATGCATTTATACGCATGCATGTCACAACAGTTGGAAGTTTGATTGGTTTTCTTGCCAGTCCTTCTAGATGATCATAGTTACTGGTGTAAACTGTAAGTATCTTAAGAACTTACAAGCAGCAGTTTTCTTCAGGTGCCATACCAAAAGAACCATTGGCCAATTCCATTTGCCAAAAGGTCCACACAGTGGCTGAAGCGTGGCAGTTTGTAAATTTGGCCCCTGTTCCTGTCCTTGATGAGGACCAATGAGGAACAAATTAGGTTATTGTTCTCTGAACCTTTTTCTTCTTTTAACTGCAGCACATGACACCGTGGCAAATCAATTCTGATAGATAACACTATTGTGAATACGCAGGGACTCTACCAATGAAACTTCAGTATATTTCTCTGATGAATGGAGGATGCAATAATATGTTTTGTTTGATATGATTGTCTTGATTATCGATACCATGATCAGATTCATTCACCTTTGCAAGGGATCCGGTTTTTCATGTCTTTTTGTTAAATTATTAATTTAATTCAAGATCAAAACTAACTAGCATAAAGGTGCCAGCTTTGCAGGGTTGGCAGCTTGAGAAGGTAGTTTTGAGCTAAAACCTTGAACCACTGCAGCCAATGTGATTTTGACCCAGTGCCAATGATGGAACTGCTATATAGTTCCAAGTCAGAATGATCTTTGGCTTGGAGGGGTACTTCACAGGTGGTGGTGTTCCTGTGCCGTTGGTGCCCCAGTCCTAAGTAGAGGTAGCAGATTTGGAAGAGCTTTGCTAAGTAGTATTGAGAGAGCCTTGTTCAGCTTCTGTTTGTAATTTGTAGAAAGTACACATTGTTGCCTGTGGTGGACGATGTGAATAGTTAAGGTCATGGATGGAGTGCTGAACAGGTAGGATGCTGTACCTTGGACGCTGTTGAGTTTCTTGAGTGTTGTGACAAGTGTACTGATGAAGACAAGTGGCGAGTGTTTTGTTACATTCCTGACTTGTAACTTTTGTGAATGGTGAGCAGGCTCTGGGAAGTCATTGTAAATTTCAGAGTCGTCCTATTAGATCTTTATGACCAGTGTCCATTCCAACTGTTGGAAAATAACAAATGCTAATATTGTTTCTCACTTTTAGGGATGAATTTCTTCTAGGTGGATCCTTGTCATTAAAGGCTAATTTTGCAAAATGATTGCTTCAGTAGTTTTTATTTTAAAGGTGCACTCAAAGTTTTATTGTTACAGCTGGTTTCAACAAGAATAGTAACAAATGCAGCTCAGGTACAAATGATGTTCTTTTTGTTCTTTCTTGTAGGAAATAAAGAAGGATGTGAAGAAAGAAAGCCAATCAGTAAAACCTACAGAAATGCTTGGAGATGATGTCTCCAATGGCAGCCTGCTGTCTTCAAGTGATGCAACTCTTAAAAGTCCTAGAAAAGGTAAATCTGTTACAAATACAATTATTTCCTACGTTGATTAGGTCACCTGCACAAAGAAAAATATTAGTTAAATCAACAAAAACCCAATGCTACCAAGTATTTTAACATCAATAGTTGCTGAAGAATTCAATTTTAATAAAAAAACCCATGTGCTTTGCAATGAACCATGTTAATAATGAGGGTAGTAATGGTGACCTTTTATTGTTGCATTAAAGTCATGATCTTTTATAATCCAGGAATGTGTTTTTTAAAAGAAAGTTAGCCCTTGTAAGTCTAAAGCATAATCCAGAACATGAGAAATGCATTACAAATAAATCAGCATCTGAAAGAGAAAATCTTACCTTTCTGATGGGTTCAATTTGACCAAACATTCTGTATTTTTAAGGATGATATGCTAATCTTGTAAGTCACTCTAACCATCTATTTTTGTGACACTGAATTTTTGCATAGATTCAGCCACAATAGTAGGTGGTTATACTAAGAATTGTACAATCCCCACAGTGTGGAAGCAGGCATCCCACCTACCCTCTATATAACCCTGCGTTTCCCATGGCTAATCCACCTGGAAACCAGAGCATCCGGAAGAAACCCACGCACATACAGTGAGAATGTCTATGTGGAGTTTGCACAGTCTCCCAAGGATGAAATCAAACCTGGGTCCCTGGACTCTGAGGCAGCAGTGCTAGCCACTAAGCTACCGTGCCGCACCACTTGCTGGTGGAAATGCCTGTATTGTTTCCTGATTAAGTACAGATGAAATTTGGACAACATGGTATTCAAGTAATGAAACAATTTATTGTGTCTTCTGCTGCAGTCACTTGTGGATTTTTTTTTAATGCTCAAGGATTTCTTTTAATTGCTGCAAATTTGTGCTGCCTGATTATTCCATGTCTGTCTCATGTCATAAGCTTGAATCGTGCCTAGCTTAAAAACAGCCATACATAACATGCAATGTTGATGAAAAGGAAGTGTTTGTAAGTGCTTCCTTTATTCATTCAGGGAATGAGGGCATCGCTGGCTAGGCCAGCATTTATTGCTCATCCCTAATTGCCCAGAGGACAGTTCAGAGTCAACCACATTGCTGTGGGTCTGGAGTCACATGTAGGCCAGTCCAGGTAAGGATGGCAGTTTCCTTCCCTAAAGGACATGAGTGAACCAGATGGGTTTTTCCAACAATTGGCAATGGATTCATGGTCATCATTAGACTCTGCCATAGTGGGATTCAAACCCAGGTCCCCAGAATATTACCTTGGTCTCTGGACTAACAATCCAGTGATAATACCACTAGGCCATTGCCTCCCCACTTAATTTACTGAATGGACCAGTGTCCAAAATATCTCAAAATTATCCTCACCAAAACTGTAATTTGGGACTTATTGCTAATCACGCTTACAGGCATTCTAGATTGAGAATGGTCACTTGATGCTAATCGAGGTTGATACTGGCGTGGCTGTATCAGTGATTGCACAACCAGTCTTTAATAAAATTTGCTCTGAACTCCAACCCTTAATTTGGCGTAAGGCCTCACTAGATTGAGAATCTATACTGGGGAACCTTTACAGATTAAGATACAACTTCAGTTCCAGCCTTATATGAGAAGCAGCTGATTCAGTTACCATTGATGATAGTAAAACGCTCAGGACCAAGCCTGATGGGGTGAAATTTGTTGAAAGATTCAACTTGATTGGTTCAACGTTTTTTGATTAGAAAATGGCTGCTTGAATGAAGTCCTAATTAAATACCTGGAGATTTATCAGGAAGGTTTGGGGACTATCGAAGGAGCCAAGGCCACCTTGCTCGTTCCATGCAATTCCATGTTCTGCAAGGCTCGTTCAGTGCCATTTGCATTGCCTACAAAAATAGATACAGAAATCAGGAGACTGGCAAGCCAAGGAATCATCAAATCACTACAGTTTGCAGAATGGGCAGCAGCGATCTTGCCGATTATGAAGCCTGACTGGTTGATTTGCCTTTGTGGGGATTTTTAACATGGTAAATTGCTTCTCTCAGCTCAGTAAATACCCAATCACTCACGTAGAGGACTTGTATACAAAGCTGGCTGAGGTGTGGGGTTTCCTTCATGAAGCTGGACTTGAGCAGCGCATACCTGCGAATCCAGTTAGATGAGGATTCCCAGAGGTATGCTACAATTAAGACCCATAAGGGTTTGTATGAATATACGAGACTGCCATTTGGGATATAGTCAGCCTGCGCCATTTTTCAGTGGATGATGGAGAGCATTTTATAAGGTCTACTCCAGGTTGCCGTTATCTAGTTGACGTGCTAGTAATAGGGAAGACCAATAATAAAAACACTTGCAAAACTTGGATGTAGTCCTCAGATGTTTCTCCAAGTCAGGCATATGCCGAGGAAGGGAAAAATGTATGTTCCAGGCATCCCAAGTGACTTACTTGAGCTAGAGAATTGACAAGACCAGTTTATGTGGGTGTTCAAAGCTGCTCTGGCTCCCATGTGTGTATCGGAGCTTAGGTCTTTTCTTGGATTGATGAATTATTATGGAAGGTTCATATGTAACGTGGCCACTGTCCTGGCACCCTTAAACCTGCTATTGAAAAAGGGTCAGCTTTGGAAATGGTCTTATAGTCAAGAAGTAACCTTTGGGGAAGCGAAGAAGAAGCTGTCATTCTCTAAGGTGTTGGCACGCTATGATCCCAAGCGAGTCCTGGTGCTGAACTGCGATAACTTCCTGTACGATATCAGGGTAGTGTGGGCTCATGGATGACCCAATGGAGAGGAATGTCCAATAGCATAGGCTTCCCGGACTTCGACTGACGCAGAGTGTAAAGACGCCCAGGAAGGAAGGTTTGGCGGTCATTTTTTGGTGTATCATGGTTCCACAATACCTTTTTAGGGACATAAATTTACAATCATAACAGACCACAAACCCCTGCTAGGGCTACTCAAATAGGAAAAGGCTGTGCTGCCCATAGGTGCAGGTCAAATTCAGTGATGGGATCTCATTCAAAGTGGATACAATTACAAGTTGGAACATCATCCAAGAGTTCCAAGTAGCAAATGCAGATGCCTTGAGCCGCTTGCTGGCAGATACACCACTGGTGGTGCCATCACTGAAAGAGTCCGTTCTGGTTTTAGACTTTCTGAACACAAGATTCCTGTAAGTGAGAGAGACGGTTTATTTCAAGGACGAAGTTTTGTACTGAAACCACGGAAATGGCCCTGCATGGGTAAGAGGCATGGATCAAGCGAGGTCGGGTTCCGAGACATACAAAGCTTGGGTAGGTGAGGTAGTCCTCAATAAGCACTTGGACCACGTGAAAGCTGCAAACATGCAAACGGGGCAGGAACAGGACAGCTGGGAAGGCATTTGGAACCTGTGGGTTCTCCTCCCCCACCCCCACCTCCGAGGGCCAAAGAAACCCTAGACTCTGAGATGGACATGGCAGATGTCAAGCCTTGATGCCTTTACCACCTGAAGAAGAGAATGAATTTCTTCTGAGATGCTCCAGGGACAAGAGGCGGGTTATGGTCCAGTACGTGCCACCTGTATCAGAGGCTAAGTTGGAGGAGCCAGACTTGATACGAAAATGCCCCAGGAGAGGTCACAAGACAAAGAACAGGCCTATGGCTCATTCTTAACAGGGGAGGGATGCAGTGATTCTAACAACATCAGCCCGGTGGAATATGAGTTCCCTGATTGGACCAGGTTAACAACCCCAATCAGGGAGCCCTGGCTGACCGATACAAACAAGAATGTCAGAGGTTCTGCTCACTCTGAGAGCTGGCTTTGAGGGAGCCGGGCCAGTGTCAGGTACCATGCATGTTAAACAAAGGGTACTAACCTCTGGAGTTATTCCAGTGTCTTTGGGCTACTTTGGCTTTTTATTACTGGTCTTCTGGAAGATTGTGGCTAAATGTTTAAGAATAAGTGACTGGGAAGATACAGGTTCAAGTGACGGAATTGAGGAGTTTGGGAATGGTGGGATTAGAAAGTAAGAGATAATGGGAAAGGGAATGGGAAGTAGGAGTGTAGAATCAGTGACTGAGGAGAGAGGTGAAAAGGAATCTACTGGTCAGTCCTCCTTGATCTGCCACCAAATGTCATCTGTACCTCTATCCAAAAGGAGAGAAGCGAGAAGGAAAATTGAAGAAAGAAAAGAGGGTGACATGAGACTGAGAGAAGCAACGCAATAAGTCAGGAGAAATACAAAAGACCATATTTGGACAGCAATGTTAGCCTTTGATTGCAAACCAGCAGAATGGTCTCTCTTCCTATTAGGAAGCTTGTTGACTGAAATACAGATAACAGTTTAAACAGTTTGCGTAACTGATGTGAAGGTGAAATTGCCTCTCTTGTGCTCATAATCTACCCTAACCGTATGCTAAATCCCCAAATTGAGCACCCATTGATGCAAATGTCGTTTTTTTGTTTTATGCCTTTCTGAAAAATTGTGACAGTTGACTCTACTAAAATTACATGGTAGAGCATATGTGCAGTTAGCAAGAAACTGATAGCATTGCCGAATCTACTGTAGTATTGATGATAGTGGCTCTTGTGATGCAGTGGCACTCCTCCCTACCTCTGAGTCGGGAGGCTCAGGTTCAAGTCCCACCTTCTCCAGAATTGTCATGACAACTCTGAACAAATTAAATTTTTTTAAGTATGATAAGGCCTCTTGTGCAAGTGTAATGTCCATAATTCTGAGCCAGGAGGCCAAGTTTCAAGACGCATCTACTTCCATAGATATGTCATAGAATCTTTGAACAGGCTGGTATAGAAAATATCATCTTTTTAAATTTCTGCTTCAGTAGAGCAGAGAGAGAGAGGCAGCAAGAGGATATATTGAGACCCAGGATTAGGGGGCCCAGCATTTCAGTGGGGTCTGGGAGTGTAGGTACTAGTTTAACAGCTTTAGGGATACTGCTGATTGGGAAAGCAGATCAAACAGTGATATCACCGGGATTAGTGGGTTGAAAGTGCTTTTTTCTTTGGAAGAAGGAATTAATGAGAAATAACAGGA